AAGGGGGAAATTAAAAAAAGAGACAGGAAAAAAAAAAAATATATATATATATACGTTATGAAAAAAAAAATAAATTAAATTAAAAAAAAAAATAAATTACAAACTGAAGAGAGGCACAAAGGACTCCAACATCAATGCAACAGCAGAGGCCAGCAGAGAGGAGCACAGCCAGGCACAGACCAACGGGTTGATGTGTTACAACAATCTCTGCAGAGAGAAAGGGGTTAACCTGCCCGGGAGGTGGAAGCATGCACTGCATGCACTGCAGGTGTGGAACAAAGCAGCAAAGTCCTCTGGATCCTCTGGGCTCTGCTGTGCACACGCAGAGCTCTTGGTGTGGATGGGAGTGTGGCTGTGCTGCCGTCCCCACGCGGCTCTGCAGCCCCCAGTGCTTTGCTGGGGGAAGGAGGAGGAGGCAGCTCCCTGTGCTGCAGGGAGGAATGAGTTTGGGGAGGTGGGATTTTGCTGTTTGTTTGGGGTTGGTTTGGTTTTTTACTGCTGGCTCAGGTGGTCCCAGGGCTGCGGGTGCCCCGCGGGGAGCGGCATGCAGTGGGGAGCACAGAGAGAGAACAGCAGGGATGAGACCAAAAAAACAAAAACAAAAAAACAAAACCAACAAAACAACCAAAAAGGAAAAATAAAAAAGGACAAAATAATAATAATAATAATAAAAAAAAGGCATCGACAGCCTCGGGAATGCAAGGGCACAGGGGAGAGAGAGCGCAAGGCACCACAGCACACGTCACAGAGACAGACAGACAGACAGCCCCGTGCCGATCAGATACGTCAAATATCACCACTCCGGGACCCTCACTGACCTCTAACTTGTTGCTCCAGGTTCAGTATGACTGATACGGCCTGGTGGAGGATTAGCAGTTTGGTCTGTGGTTTTTCGCTGTTTAGGTGGAGTTGGCACATGCGTCCGAGCTCTTTAAAGGCCTCGTTGATGTCCCGGACCCGCAGGCGCTCACGGGCATTATTGGCGACCCTCCTTTCTCTCTCTCTCTCGGCTTTTTGCTCTGGGGGAAGAAGATCGTCCTCCTCATCCTCATCTTGACTAATGGTTTAAAATAAGAACGAGACAGGGACATTCCTCGCGTGCACTCTCAGCACTGGTCAACTCACAGACAAGAAAACACACATGGAGGCACGCAGATGTCCCCCCGCCGCGGCACGGGGACATGCAGTGACACGGAGAGAAGCATTAAGGCTCTTCCTCTTCCTCCCTTTTTTTTTGTATACACAACAAATAAAGAAAGCACAACACAATTGGTGATGCATTGGCACAGCTGCTTAGGGAGGTGGTGGGGTCACCGTTCCCGGAGGCGCACAAGAATCGTGGAGATGTGGCACTTGGGGACGTGGGGATGGGTTGGGGTTGGATTTGGTGACCTGAGAGGGTTCTTCTGACCTGAATGATTCTGTGATTAAATGAATGGTTCTGTGATTAAAGCATGAGCTGTCGCTGGGTGGCATGTAATGGTTCCGAGGATGTGCTGGGGGTGACCCTGGTGTCGGAGATTTGGGTGGAGGGCAGGAGGTGGCTGCTGGCCAGGAGGGTGACCAAGCTGATGGTGAGGCTGGGGACAGGCCAGCACGCTGCCAGGCCCCCACCTGACCCATTTCCATGTCTGGTTGGCTGTGATGGGGGATACAGAAGCCCAAAGCAAATGGAACAGCAGCCTGACACAGGGAGAGGCTGGAGCCTTCTCTCTCTGCCCAGGGATGCTGAGTACCTGTGCTGCCTGGGGCATGGCCACGAACAATGCCCTGAGTGAGCACGTCCCAAACCTCTGCTTTATGAGCATGAGGAAAGCCCACAGCCATAAGGACAGCAGGGCAGGTGGCTGGGAGCCCTGCCTGGCATGGCTGATTCCAATGCCACGGGACCCAGGCTGTGCCCCTCTGAGGCTGGGCAGGGGCAGGGGGTCTGCACCACAAGAACAGGTCTCAGAGTCACCAGGCTGAGCTCAGTTGCCTGGGGGTCACTGTGGCTGTACTCCAAGCCAAATGCCTTCAGAGCTTTACAAAGTGAAGGGAGAGACCTGTTCAAAGAGCACCTTGTTCTATTCCGTGAGGGTTTCAGCTCCTTCTTCTCCTCTTCAGAGTTATCTGCCACTGATGTGTTCTCCTCATCCTCCTTCTCTTCCCTCTTTATCTCGTTGGTTCCTGAGGAGACGCTGCTTCGCCCCAGCCCCCCTGACAAACCTGCCAAGGAACACAAGAGGTTGGAGGGGGCTGGGAGTCCCCATTCATGCAGCATCACATCCCCATCTCACCCTTCTGCGGGTCTCCAATTCTGCTGCTCCCCCTTCACTCCCATTTCACCACTCACATCTTCCAGAGCCAGAGCCAGAGCCCACCCTTCCCCAAGCAGTGCAGTGCCTGGGGTCTCACTGTACCCACAGCCGGAGGGGCAGAAACATGCATGATGAGCTAGAAGCCACATTAAGGACCTCTGGGAAAAGTGCAGTGTGTGAACTGGGTTCTGTGGGGAGCCCCGAGCTGGATGTGGGGTGACCCCAAACCCCGGCATTGAAAGGGACTCATGCATGCCCAGGTGCAGAGCTGCCTTACCACTGTACGTGTCCTGCTGCCTGTTGAGGTCGGGGAGTGAGCTGGGCTGTGATGGAAGTGTGACATGGTTGTGGAGCATGCTGGGGGTGCTGGACAGCCCGTCTTCAGGGTGACCTCCTCCCACCTACAGCAGAATGAGCAGAGCAAGCTTTGAGGGGTGGAAGTGTCAGGGCCAGCACAGGTCCCCCCGCACAGAGCCACGTGCCCCCCATGCAGGAGAGGAGCCAACCTGCCCTGGGGGCTGCGGGGCGCTGGGCTGCAGCTCCATGCCCTGCCTATCAGCAGAGCCAAGAGGAAAACCCTCATCAGTGCTGCCATCCCATGGAAAAGCCTCTCTGCTGGGATGCACTGCTGCACAGGATGTTCTGCCTGGCTGCATGCATCTCCACAGGGCACCAATGTTTCTTCAGGCCCCACAGTGCCACTGGAGCAAGGGCATCCCAGCAGCACAGACCTCACACTGAAGGGATGAGGATTGGGCAGGCTGCATCCCGTGGGGCTCCACTATGCTGGCAGGGATTGGCAGCACAGAGCCAACACTCCCATTGCTGCAGCTGGTTTGTAGCTCTGTACCAGAGTCTGGGGAGCAAAGCACATCTGGTTCTGCAATGATGATCATTCTGGCAGGGACCCAGACCTGCTCAGAACATGTTCCTGTGGTCACCAACCTCTAGACAGGGGGAAACTAGTGCAGGACCCTATGCACCTGGGATGCACACCCCCATCACAGTGCTCCCCATCCATCACTCACCAGGCTGGGGTGTCGACCCCCCAGGGACATGACAGAGGCAGGGAAGGCCTGGCCCAGGCTGCCCACAGCAGCACTGTGTGCGGGTGCAGAGCCCAGCAGTCCATGCATGTCCCCGTGGTTGCTTGGCATGGCGGCCGTCTGGCCCACGGCATGATTCCTCAGCACGTGGATGGCTTCATCCAACCTGTCTTCCATTTTGTTTTGCTGGAAAGAGGGAATGGAGAAAGCAATCTGTTAATGTCTGCAAAACCAGCAGCCCCACGCAGCTGTGCTTAGGCTGCAGGGCAGATGTAGGGACGAGCAGCCTGACCCCAGCAGTGCCACCCCCAGGGACACCAAGGTGTCACAGGAGCAGCTCTGCTCTGACACAACTGGGTTGGACCTGGCGGTGTGGATGGGGGTCAGGAATCAGTACCCAAATCTGTTTGACCACATCCCATCAAACATCACTCCTGAAGGTCCCTTCCAGCCCACACCACTCTGTCACCCAACCCTCCCCCTTCAGGTTCTGATCCCACTGCCCCCAAGGACACAACGAAAGGAGAAGAGGAGCGAGGAGATGTTTCACTTACTAAAGTGTGGAGGCTCCCTTCGTAGCTGGGAGATAAGGCACCCTGTCCGCCCGCTCGAGACCACTGGGATGTGCCTGGAAATAAACAGGGACAGCTTGGGACTGGGCACAGCAGCCGCTAGGTGGGGCTGGAAGCTGGGCTACCACGGCATGCATAGGGACACCATAATACTGCATGGGGCCACGCAGGCATGGAGCAGCAGGTTGGTGGCTCTGCATCCATATGCCAAGGGTATGGACTTTCATCGGGCACTGAAATGGTTTTGCAGCAGCTCTGGCTGCTTCCCAGTTCATACTGGGTTCATCCCATAGGAGGGAAAGCCAGGGACAAACTTCCCGAGCCCCACTGAGATGGGGTGCACAGAGATGGGGCTTCCCCAGGAGCTTGGGGGTGGCAGAGATGCTTTAGCTTGCTCCCCTGCTTTTAAAAACAAATGGGATTTGGTGAGATTTGCCCAAAGCGTAGGGTTTTTAAGGAGGGTTTTTATGGAGCTGATCTGGAAGTGCCTTACAGCAAAGCTTCTGGGCCTCTTTATACAAGGAACACTTTCACCTTACCTGCAAGGCCCTGTGGGGAGCCGACCGGTGTGGAGGGGTTTGATGAGAAGTTATTGCTAGAGTGATCTGGGGAATAAATCTAGAGGGAGAGAAGCAGGGCACGGTCAGCAGTGCTCAGCCCTGTGTTAGAACTCCCCTTCCCCAGTGCTGCTGCACGGAATGCTGAGTGTCCCTCCTGCCCCATTGCCAGCCCCCATCTACCCCCAGCACCCGGTGCCTCTGCCCTGCACTATCCCTTCTTGGTTTCCCATGCTGGAGGGAAGCTGGAGCCCCTCAAAAATATGGGGTGCAGCACTGAGCCCCCCTCAAAGCAGCAGGTAGAAGCAAAGGTCCCTGTGCTGAATGGGCTCTGACAGCCCCACAGCTGAGAATGCTGTTCTCAGTGGGACAGTGCCCTCCAGTTTGCAGCAGCACATTTAGGGACTGGGCACCAGGAGCCACCGGTCCCACCATGAGGGCTGTGTGGGTGTGGATCTGCTCGTGGGACTGTGCTGACGCCCCGTACTGCCTCAGGTTCCCCATCTGCTTAAAGGGGCTTTAGCACAGCGCCAGGACTCGGGGTGGCAGCTGTGTTTGTTTGAGGGTGCAGAGGTTCCCCCAAACTTCTCACGCGTCCATCTTCCCACTGCCTAGATGGTCCTCGGTGCAGAGGGAGGTCTGCAGGGGCAGGGAACAGTCGGGGATGTGCAGCAGCTCTTACTGAAGCTAGTGCCTTCCCAAGAGCGTCTCCCGAGCTCCCAGCCGTGGTTCCTCTGTTACCTGTTGAGAGAGGACACAGACATCACTGCCAGGGCACCACAGAGCTGCTGGGACAAGGCACCTCGTATAAATCCTCCTCGATGCGTTTCCCTTTCTCTGAGCAAATCTTCCCCCAGGAATCCAGGTCAGGATGCTCATTTCCCAGGGAACACGAGTTCATTTCGGTAACACGTTTTGTAACGGGCTCAGCAGGGTCAGAGATTAAAGCACCCAGGGGTTTAATGCAGCATCTGAATGGTGCGTTTGGGATTTGGATGAATGGCTTCACAGCATCACAGCATCTCCAAGTGCTGATTCCACAGACCTCGGGCTCCCCCCAGTCCCACTCAGCTGCTTGGCAAAGCCCACATCCACCCCCTCCCCACTCCCTGGCGGCTGCCCAGGCACCCAGCAGGGGTGAGCTGTCCCCTGTGTGACACAAAAGGGATCAACAGCGTGCAAGTACGCAGATATGGGCACCCCCAGCTCTGATATTGGGGCTTTGGTTTTTCCAGCTCGGTCCCTTTGTGGCAGTAGGGTGCTCTGGGGGGGGGCACGTACCCATCATGGTGTCGGTCCCACTGATCGGCGGCGTGTGGCTGGAGACGCCGTATGGGGTGGAGGCAGAGGAGAAGCCTGACACGGAGGGCAGCCCGCCATTCACCTCTCCTGAATGCAGCTGGTAGTTCTGGATGGAAGAAAGAGGAGGGTGAGGGGGGTTCTGGGGCTTCGACCACCGACTCAGCCCCAATAGGGGACTCTGGGGGGACAGCTGGGGACGTTACCATGCGTTCGTGCTGATGTAAACTGTTGAAGCTGGCGGACTGCGGGAGAGGGGAGGAGGAACTGCCCAGCATGGCCCCGTAGCTGGACTGGCTCATGGCACTGGGGGAGCTCCACAGGTCTGGCGAGTTGTGGAGCCCGTCTGGAAGGAAAGGAGAAGCTGTGAGCAAGGTTAGGAGTGCTGATATGCATCCCATAGCCTGAGCAAGGGCTGCATCCATCCCCACTGCACCCTGCAGGGCCCAGGGCTGCTCCAGCCCTGAACCAATGCATTGCAATCCCTCCCGTTGGCCATTCCATGTCTCAGCCACTCACCTGCCATATAGAAGGCTCCGGGGTACACAGTGCTGGGAGGTTTCGAGGGGGTATATCCAGCCGGATCCCTGCTGTAGTCATCACCTGAGTTGGATGGATACACCTGCAAGGCAGAGAGGGGTGAGGAGCAGAGCATTATCCCAGGGCTCAGCACACCCTGCGTGGGTGACAGACGGGGACAAAGCAATGGGGACAGCACCGAGTGGAGCAGCCCAGGGCTGGAGATGCAGGGCAGGAGCCCAGCAGCTTCTGCCTTCCCGGAATGGCACCCAGCAGACTGTGATGGCCCCAGTTTCGGTGCTCTGCTCCAGTTCCCGTTTTTGTGGTTATAGCTTTTTATGAGCAACCACAAACCCCATCGTTTCTGCATGCAAACCCGCGCCCAAGGGCATGGGATGGGTCAGGGTGGTGGTGGGGACACAGCGAGCCCTGGGGACCTCATCACTGCACCCCAACCCTGCGCTGTGTCTGCTGGCGAACCTGCAAGGCGCAGCTCTGTTGCACTGCACGACTTCAACCAAACTGCTCTACTCCTGCAACAGCACGGCCCCAAACTGCAGCCCTCACGGGGACCCCAAACCCCTCCGGCAGCACCTCAGCCCCATTCCATGTGCTCATGCACGGGGTCAGCTGCAAACCACAGAAAATAAGAGGTGAGGGGGCACGGCCCCCTCGTGCAGGATGGCACACAGCACTGCCAGCTTTCTGCCAGCTTTCAGCCAGCTTTCAGCAGCTCTGTGATGCAAAAGGGAAGATCTGCTTTCCCAAAATGACCCAAAAGCATCCCAGAAAGCCCTTCCAGGGCACCATTGGGCGGCGGTTCCCATTTCTGAACGCAAGAATCCAACACGCAAAGAAACCGAAACGCCACTCGAAATTACGTGAGAACCTTTCCTGCAGTCTATTTTCATCCCCCCGCCCGTTCATTCCGAAACCACAATTTGATTTTTTTGGTTGGTTTCGATGCCCCCGAAAGCAGAGGAGGGTGTGGGGGCTCCAGGAATGCTCCTCATGGAGTGCAGTGCTTCGATGGGATGGGAATTGTGTGCTCTGTGCCCACACCCCACATCCAACCCACCCCCTCTGACCCCCGGCTGAGAACCCACATTGGTGAGGGCAGAGAAAACCACTCTCAATTCCTCTGACTGCTCACAATGCTGAGAATTTCTTCTTTTTTTTCTTGGATGGGGGTGGGTGGATTGAAAAAAAAGCTCTGAAATGCACCGGTGTTAAAATTAAATGCTTCTTTTTCCCTTTGTGCCCCCGGTTCCTGCTTCTCAGTGCTGCTTCTCTCCTCCTGCTTCCCCTGTGCCACGTGGTTTCCCCCCATACCCACCTCCATCCCCAAGATGAGGCAGACCTCCTCCCTCCCCCCCATCCCCCCTGCAGTCATCAGCCCCTCCAGCCCCCATGTGGGGCTCCTTGGAGAAGGGGGGGACGGATTCTTCCCTACATCAGAGCTGGAAGCAACTGGTCGACATTTGTGGCAACGAGAGGGGAAAAAAAGAGAAATAGAGGGAAGGGGAAAACCTGATGGGTTCAGGCAGCTGCCCTCCGAGCTCAAACCCACCCCCCAAATTTGCTTTCTGCACCACGCCGTGCACGCGGGGCCGGTGGGATTGTTGGGTTGGGGAGAACAGGGAAGGGGGGAACGGAGGAGGAGGAGGAGAGGAGGAAGGCTGCGAAGAATTGAGAATCCAGCAAATTGACTTTTCCTCTAATTTGATTAAATAGCGGGAGCTGGGATGGAGGGGGGGGGGGGG